ATCTGATCAATAATATCGTCAAGCAAAAATTTATGAAGAAAATCGATATTTAAAGAAAAAAATCAAAACCTGATGATGAATCATCAAAAAAAGGAAAGAAATCATCGAAAAAATCTAATATAACAGTAATCGATGATAATGATGATGATATTTATCGAATTGCTAAAGTAACACGTGGTGGTGAATTACCAGAAGGTGCTACAGAAAGTGGAAATGAAGATAATGATCATGATGTAATTGTTGGAAAAAATAAAAAATATGATCCACATCGAGCACTTAATATTGACTTAAGTGAAAAACCTATTCAATCGATTCCTACATCACTACCACCGTTGACATCTCAATTAAAAGAACCAGTTCCTAAACAAGTTGAAACACCTCCTATATTAACTGGAAAGCCAAAAAAATCTAAGAAAAAGAAAATAATTGAAAAACAAGAACAATCAGCAACATCGAAATTCAAATACAAACGAGAACGTAGTGATTATAAAGAATTATTATCACCAGCTGATGAGGAAGAAAATTGTCCAACTTCAACACCTCCTCTTCCTGCTATTGCAAAAAAAAACAAAGAAAAAAAAATTATCATCAGAAACAATAACAACAGTAGATACAAATACTTCTGCACCACTTTTATTGGACATTATAACAGATGATATTCATCTAACAAATCAATCTGAGCAACAATACAAAGAACAAGATACTTATAAACTAGTTGCTCAATCTGGCAATTGTAAGTTCAATAGTTATTCTAATTTAACCAATAGATGAGAAAACTTCGCTAAGCGATAAAATGCTTTTGATATGAGTCTTATCTCATTAGATAGATTCTATTGAGATCTGAGAAAATCTACGCTACCTTCTTGAATGATGTCTATTGTATTAAGTTTTCAGCATAATCCTATAGTTCCGTCCGATTTCAATTTGTTATAAAGTTTGATATATTATTTATTTTTAGGAATATTCAATTAATCCAGATCCATCAATAGCTCAACTTGATGTAACATTTCTTTTAAAAAATCGAACATCATTTATTATTGATCGTATTAATATTCATTGTATTGATAGTATGAGTTCGAAATTATTAAATACAACAAGTACAAATTTAATATCATTTCCATTTATAAGAATTTTTCCTCATTCACAAAACTATATTCATATTTATTCTTTTCAATAAATGCTATATCATTTTCTCAAAAATTAAAAACAACATTAACTTATTCTATAAATGTATGTTGAAAAAAAATAGAAAATAAAAAA